AGCTAGTTTATCTACAACTAAGAATAATTCATTCATGACCAACTAGAAGAATTAGAATAGAAGAAATATATTAAGAAATAAATCTCATAACTTTACCTCTGCTTCATACTCTTTGCATTCATTAGCAGCCATTATTAGTACTTTTACTTTTCATCAAACATTATAGACGATTTGTTTTTCGATATTTACTTTAGAAATTTGTATTTTTAATAGCATGTAATTCTAATATTTGTTGTTGCTAATATTTGAAGTCAAATTTATACATTAGGCTGATTATATGCAAGGTGTCAAGTTTTCGGATATCAAATACAAACCTTTAAGACGTGATTTTAGAGCTATATATATATATATATATATATGTATTACTATTTTTAATTATTAACTAAAAATAATAAAATTACAGACTAGTAAAAAATATACAATTTTTTGTCGTGATAATTGAAAAGTATGTTAAAAGTAAAAGTACTTGTAGTGATAATAATTTTGGCAGATTTTTAAAAGTATTGTAGTCAAATATTTGGCTTTTCTTTTCAGATTTCACATTTTTGTTGTGATAAAAAAAAGCTGTGAAAAAAATGAGTGGAAACAAAAAATTACACATAGATATTGAAATAGCAATCGCTTGAATAAAGCTCAAGGAAGCATAATAATCGTTTATCTTTCAGAATCAATTTGAAGATTTGATGGCCAGATTTGTGGAGTTCAAGCAGCCGATCAGTCTCGAAGAACGAGTAGAAAGATTGTTACGGGACATTGCTGATATGGAAAACAGTGTAGATGAATTAACAGGTGTTCAAGCTGAATGTTGCAAGCAAGCCTTAGATCACACAAATGAGATCAACAGACGACTTGCTATGGTTATTATTCTATCTTGCGTAATTTGTTAAGGATATTGTCTAAATCATATGTAAGCAAGACAGATGTAGGCTTGTAAATTTTTCATTCATTGCAGTATTATTTATATTTACGATATCTTATCTGATCAAACAAATATCGTTCATGCTTTTTTTGTTTCAAGTGATACTTTTTTTGGATTTTTTTCTCAAAAAAATTTGAGGTATTAAATTTAAACTAAATTAGCAATAGCAGTGGAATTAATCATTTGAAAATGAAGACTTTCTGTATGTTATGCAATTGGTCAAACTATTTTTGTTTGAATTAGATTTTACGTGTGATTTCATGATTCTGAGCAATTCAAGGCAAAAACGGATCTGGAAGAACTAACCGAATCTGGAAAGATGTTTGTGAAGGAGCAAATTTTGACACCAAATGCTGCACAAGTTTTAACAAAAAAAGCAAATAAATTAGATGAAAAATTACAAAATTTAAGTGAAAGGGTTTGTTTCAAATTTGTAATGATAGAAAGTTTTCCTTTAAAAGGCTAAAAGTTTAATACTGTTTGGGTTTTTAAAAAACTTACCAGATTTGCTTCATAAATGTGAAAATTTTTGATTTTTTTTGAAATTTTGATGTAAAAATTGAAATTTTGTTATCAAATATCAAGCAAAATGTTTTTTGAGGAAAAGTATTCGTTATATTCACTCAGCTGTTTGTCTTCACTTTTTAAGATTTTAGATATTTTTTCATCTCTATTTAGATTTTCCAATCGGTTTTTGCAGAATATTGAGATGGCAGAACGTTTGAAAAACTGTATATCAGTATTAGATGCGCTTAATGGCGATATGAGGAAGTTGGATGCCGTGTTCGAGAGTGTTGAATCAAGATTAAATGCATTTGTTCGCTCAGAAAGTATTGAAACTGCAGATGCAGATCGAGCAACATTAGAAGCATTACTAGATGATTTGAATAGGTGAGATTAATAGCAAACTTTGATATACTTATTCATTTACCTTTAAAGTAATTAAGTGATTGAAAAATGCATGAAAATTTTAGAAGTGTGTCGTTGTTATCAAAAGCAGAAAATGCTGTGCAACGTTTAGCATTAGACTCATTCAAAGTGGATGAAAGTATAGTTGAACAAAGAAGACGTAGAGCTTTACGTCTGCAAGGAGATTTACGATCGTGGATTGATGCTGCAAAAGTGAGCTTTGTCTAATGATGCAAAGAACAATCCATCAACTTTCAATTCATTTAACTGCAACAATTTTTAAGTCAAAAATTTATTAATTGCTATTTTTAAAATGGATTTAATCAAGGATGAAAATTCTTTCGCAGTTGTTAATAAATAAAATTTTGTTAACAATATGATGACTGATTTTGCTAGAATTTTTTATTATTGCAATTAGTTTAGATCAGATTAACTTGAAGACAAAGGTGGTTCTAAGAATTGATCTGAAATGTTATCTAAAGTTGTTATAAAATTAGTTTAATTTGCAGTGCATGAGTGAAGATAAAGCAGCACTTTTACAACAATTTGAACTTTTACATGAGCAACTTAAGGAAACATTGTCGAAAATGGAAAAGATTGATAACTGCGAGGTTAAATTTTTCTTCTTGTACATTGTCTAAATACTTGCTAGTGATAGTAAGTATTTCAAATTTGGTGCTAAATATAACTCTTAGCTTTTTGGTATTGAAGAAAGTAATCTGATATGTGAATAGATAATGAAGTTCATTTATTCATAATAAAGAAAGACACAAACTTGAGTTTGATTGAATTTTTCATCTTGAAAGTGTTGCAATTGCTGATTTTATTAGGCATTATCAATCGCTTTGGAGAGATATCGAGCAGATAAAAATGTGTTCATCGAACGATATCGTCGATTGTTAAGGTCTGATCCTGAAGTGGAAGCAAAATTTTCAGTGATCCTTTCTGAAGTTGGCATTTCTCTCTCGAACTTCTCTTGAATAATCCAAAAATAATTAAATGACAAATTTCACTTTCCTTACGTAAATTACAAAAATAGCAAATTTATCATTTTCAACTTGCTGTCTTTTCTACAAGAGCCTAGCCAAACTTTTTTACTAAAAAGTAATAATGTAGCTTATTCAAACTCATATAAAATGTATTTTATCTTACTTTTTGTAAAAAAGTCTGTTTTAGTTTGCCATCTTTGTATATTGAATATTCAAATTTGTTTCAAACAATAATTAGTTGATGAAAAAAGTTAAAGTCTTAGAATAGAAATGAAGAAGTGAATTCAGAGTGTGCATGAAGTAAGAGTAACTTTAACTCAACTTGCAGTAACCATCATTCAGTCAATCATTTTTAATAGTGAAAGAGCTGTAATAATTTGAATCGCTAATATTAGATTGAAAAACGTTGGAATGAGATGGAAAAGAAGTGCCAGAAAGCTCGAAGTATCTCCCCCGGGGGTCCTTCACCTCCACAGCTACGTCATGCTAATGTTAAAGGTGGCTTTCGAGATCAGATTAATCTCTTGCGCGATTTGTATAAAATTGCTAATGATTATCTCGATTTTCGACGTTTTCCAGTCTCATCTGTGAACGAATGGTCGAAGCGTATTCAAGTCAGTGCCATGTTTACAACATGTCAAGCTTTTACCTATATATGTCAAAGTTTGATTTCAAAAGTGTTGAGATCAAAATTTTTTGATAAAGGCGTTTTGTTGAATACACTACTTCATATTTAGTTATAATTCTTTAAAATTAACATAGTAAATGACTAAATTAGACTTTGAAGAATATATATAATTACTTTTTAAGTCTTGATATCGTCTGCAACCAGAATCAGTGTAATTAAATTTAGTTTTTTTTTAATTAAATTAAATTAATTTATTTTTTACGTTTTCAAAGTAAACAGAATATAACTGAATTTCCTCCAAAAAAGTCATACTTTTAAAAACTTGCGCAAAATGTTAACATTCAAATTCTGCTGCTCTCATATAACTATCAAAATACTTTTACATATTATATTTAAATTTGTTAAAATATTCCAAGAAATTTGCAATGGGTGATTAATTTTCATTTTATATATATTCATGAAATGGTCGTGAAATATCTTTAAAAATTGTAATTTAATGTTGATTATTCTTTAGTGTTATTTGTTAATTTAAAAATAATGAATTTAAGTACTTTTTGGGCAAGAAAATAAGACTAATTTTTGTGTTTTAATTTTAGGATGTTGAAGAGTGGCTTGTTGATTATACGGAAAGACTGAAAGGAGCAATCGAAGAAGGTCGACGTCTGGCAAGCACTGGACGTATGGAACTTGAGGTTCATGGCGCTATAGATAGTCTTGATGAAGTGGTTGACTTGGCTAATCAGGTATTCTTTTTATTCTTTAGTTTGCGTCTTACAAATAGTGTTTTTTTTAAGTGAAATAAATTTTCATACTTGACTAATAAATGTTTACTTCTATAGGAGATAAATCTTTACTAGTTTTAAATTTTAATGAGAAAAGTTGAAGAGATAATTTGAAACAAACAACACATAGTCATTCGAGTGGATAATATTTCAGGTGGAAGGAGCTGTAAATGAAAACAAAACAAAATTATTATCTGTAGAAGCTAAAGCTGAAGCATTGCAAAGTGATATCAACATGATTGACGATGTCATTGACAAACTTGCATCTCGTGACCTCGACGAACCAAGCATTGCTAATGTAATATTATTATTTTGTAAACATTTATTAAACAGGCAATAATAAACAAAATATTACATATGTCAAAATTGTTGCAAGCGAATATTATTGGCTCTTGAATTTGCTTATATTCATTTATTTCAGCATGCAAAAATATGATGAGAATTTGACTTCCTGCTTCTTTTGATAATTATTTTAATTAGGTAGCTACTTTAATTAATTCAGTTACTTTTGATTTCAAACAAGTTTACTTCATTTATTAAATATTGGAGATTATATAGTTTGACGAAGTTTTATGAATTTTCAGGCGACTCAACTTGACTTATTGGATCGACAGACACAGTTAGATCATTTGCAGCGAAGAAGTGACGATATTCACAGCTGTCTTCCCGGGACATCCATTAATCAAGCGAATACGTTAATGGATGGAATATTGGATAAAGTCCGAGATTTAGAAGAGAAAATTAATGCATCGATTAAAAGCGGAAAAGAAAAAATAAAAGTAGTAATGGAAAAAGAGAAAAAACCCCGAAGAACACCTTCAGGAGAGCAAAAGGAGTCAGACATCATCTCGACCTCTAGCACTGGTGGACAATCCCTTGCTCTCGAAGTGCAGGCATGTTTCTTAACCTCACCATCTTAAAAACTTTAGAATCTATTGTATTGGGAAGCTAATTATAAATGAAAAAAAATAATATCTTTACCTTTTCAAATTCTGCATTTCAAACAAGAAAACCATAACCTATGTCAGTAAATGGCTAATAAAATAGATTAAATTTGAGGATACGGAGGACGAACAAAGTCGAAACACAGAGCTGAACAAAACCGGATCGAGTGGCTCTGAACCTCTAGCAATGAAAATCAACGTAATTGAGGATCGTGATCCAGTCTGGAGTGTGTACACTGAGATGGATAAGATTGAAGAAGAACTTTCTGGCCCTGATCCTTTTCCATTCAAAAATTTACTCAAAAAAAAACAAAAATTACAGGTTTGTCTTTTGATTATGTTAATATTTTATGCACAATACTAATCAGTTGCAGTTAATTCGTCATAAAGCTGGTTAATCTGATTGATTAGAAAAATTATTCAATCTTTGTTGCAACATTTGCATCGCTGGTCAGTTCTTGTCGAGATTCTAAACAAAATGTAACACTAGACAAAATCAACACAGATGATGCGTGAAATTTACTTCTTCTTATATATACTATATGATATATATATACATATATATATGAATATGGGAAGTTTTTGACTGTTTTTCACTTAAGCTCTACCATCTTTCTTTACGTGTACTTTCAGCTGCTTTGTTTTGTTTCAAAACGGAATAAAAAATAAACTGTCAACGTTTTACTTTTTTTTTAAAAAAATTTACATTCTTTGTTTTTATTTGTTCGTGCACATACATAAGGAATGAAATATTAGCAGATTTGTGTTGACGTTTGTAATTGAATACTATTTGTTTGATTATATTTCTGACTCTCTTGAAATGAATCTCTCTAAAGTTACAGTAATTACTGTTAGTGTTGAGGAATAAATTGAAGAAAAAAATAATTAAGAACTGTTTCCAATTCGAGAATAAGATAATCACTGAGTAATATGGAGATTAGAGTTATCTTTTCAAGATGTAATATTTGAATATGACATTGATGATAATTTCGAGCCTCGTTGAAATGTATACATTAAGCTAAGAAAAAATATTGTATAAAATATTGAAGAATAAATTTGTTGAATTTTGAAGCATCTAAAATCTAAAAAACTTTATTGACATTTGTAAAACTTTTTCATCAACATTTTTTTTTCCTCAACACAAAATCATATTCAAATTTTGTATGATTGCTAGTTTTTGAATGATATGTAATCTTTTTTGTTTTTTCATTATTGCTTACTTACTTCCATCAAACTTGACAGAAAGAGATACTTTTTTGGTTTTTTTGGCTAAAAGATTTTGATTAGCTAACAAATCTCAGCTTGTGTTTGGCAAAGTTTGGAAGAAACGAGTATTCTAATCAGTCTTAACAATTTGTTTTCATTTTAAACAGAGATTTATTGTGTTTTGTTGAAAAAATTTGGTCTATTTTAAAAATTTAATAACTAAAAAAAAATTTTGTTTGCATCTTCTGAACAATATAGTCCTTTTAATGACAATGAATTAATTATATGGAACGTTTATTATGACGTAAATTTTTAACAAAAATTTTATCATACTGTTATTCTTCAATGAAAATTACACAATTTTTCGATAGTTTTCAAGAAGAAAACAAATAAACCACTCAATTTAATATTTGCAATGGCAATAGCAAGCAAGTAAGTTGATAGATCATAGTTTTATCTTTTCTTTACTATTTGATTTGATTTGTGTTTTCAGAAAATAGACGAAAGTTTTGATAAGGTACAGCAAGCAATAGATGATGCGCAGATGACTATGGATTTGATGGAGAATGAAGCAGCACGGGAACGTCTTCAAAAACTTCGAGAATGCAAAATTCGTCAGAAAAAGTTAGTGTATTCCTTTTGCATTTCAATACAATATAGGTAATCATTTTATTCAATTGAAAGATTCTCCTCAAATTGTTGAAATATTATTTGTGTAGCCTTTAATTTTGCTAAATTACTCTTTAATCTTAATCTGTCTTGAAATTTATAACTAATCAAATTAACCAGAAAGGTTGAAAATTGCACAAAAAACTTAAATTGACTAATGCAGATTAAGTGAGCAGTAAGGCTAGTATTGTAACTCTCTGTTTTATACCGGTTAAACTTAGCTGTGAGCTTCATCTCATGTTTTGAAAAAGTACTCTCATATTCGGCACTGTAATTTAACTCTTAACTGTGGGTAACTCATATTGCGTACTGTAATTTATAAAAGTTACAGTATTGAATATGAGTTGCAAATAAAAGCAAAATGAATCGAGCATCTCACTATCTTCGCTCATTAAATTTCTGATAGTATCTTCTCTTCATTGCTATTTTAGTGAATTGTGTCATTGATAGACATTGACTTTGATTATGCGTGATTTCAACCTTTGAGAAAATATCATAAGTGATTAAGTTTTATCGCTGTCATTGCAGAGAAATAGATGAAAAGTTAGAAGCACGAAGTAGCTTTGAGGAAAATATGAAGATCAGTGCAGAATTGCTAATTGAAATGGAGAAGGCGCTAGCTGCACTAAACGAGCGGAAAAAGTCGCCCGAATTAGAAGAATTGCAAAGTTTGACGATATCTATAGAAGATCGCTTGCAACGAGCATTAGCTCAGATACAATACACTTCACTTAAGGTTTGTTTGTCAAATTTGAAATAGTTTAATCACAGTGACAGACACATAATTGAAAGTACTATTTGATGGAAGTACTGTAAAGTTGGAGGAATCTTTAGTGTTATCCAAGTTTGAGACACACTCTACTATGTTATGAAAAATTTGAAATGATGCTTTGATTGTGATCAGTACTATCGGATTCTCTATAGAGTGCTGGATTGTAGTACTTTTTCAGCTTTCTGAATCTTTTTCTAGTTAAAATATTTTTTATTTTTTTGTTTCCATATGAAATCTGTGTATTATGCATGTCATAAACGAGTTAACAGCAGACATTAAATTTCAATAGGTTTTAGAAAAAAGTATTTTATCTATTTTTTTGAATAAAAGAAAATGGCATATTTAAAAAAACTTTTGTTACTCATTTCTTGAATAATAAGACACGCATGTAGCTGACATGTTTAGTCATGAAATTTTACATTTTTTATCAAGAAACTGGATGATTATCTTTGGTTGTGAACAATTAATTTTTCAGGCAGAACCAATACTAACACAAATTGATGAAAAAGAAGCTGACGAGATACGTGACCGTTTACGTAATATCGGTGAACAGTGGAAACAGTATGAAGATATGATAAGAGAAAAAAGGCGTAGACTAGACGAACGCTTTGCAGATGAATCAGAATTGAACGATGAAATGGAACTGCTTCAGTTTTGGTAATTTATTTATGCAACTAATTTTTACAAATTAAATTACTGAATTATATAATTGAATAACTTATAAAAAGATCGAATTAAATTATTAGAATTTTGCAAAAAAATTAAACGAAATAATTATGAAAAGGATGCACTTTTTTCCCAATTTAATATTTATTAGTAACTACATCTAAAATGTGTTTAATTTCTATATTTATTTTCATTTCAGTCTAAATTTGTTATCAGCACTCTCAGTGATTTGATGATGCATTATTTAATTTTGGATAGTGCTTTTATTATTTATAAAAGAAGTACTATTTTAATTCATATCCTTCATATTCGACTAATTATTCTTCATTTATTATCATTCTTGTACTGCTGCAAGGCAGTAATCTTTAAAGCTATAATGTTGTTAATCACAATTAAATATTCTTGAAGGTGCGATGAAGCGGAAACAGAGTGTGCTTTTGCTGTCAATCCTTTAAATTTGACTACTTTGTTCGAACTTGCATCGAAATTAGAGGCTAGCTTTACTTTCTTACTCCAAAGAAATTCCCTTTTTCAGTGCATAACTTTTTAGTGGTAGTAATTTTTACATTAATTAGCTGAAATTGTATGGAATAAAAAATATTTAGTTTTACTGTTATTTGCATAGGTTTAGTCTATCAATTCAAAATAACTCTTAAAATAATATTATTTAAATAAACTTTTTATCTTGACGTTTTTTTTAAATTGCAAATTGCTTACAGGAGCGATTAAATGATTATGAATCAAAACGCGCAACTTTGCATAGCATTGAACGATTGAAAAATCATTTAATCAGCACACAATTAATTGATCCGGCGGCAAAACATCGAATACGTAGGGCTGTTTCTGAAATGGGCAAACGTGTTACTTCGGTATGTAATTTCTCTCTTCCACGTCATCAAAGCTTGCATTGTTTTTAGAAATTAGAAATTTGTATAACGTGTATTTTTGCACAGAAAGCTAGAAATTTTAGCAAGTTGAAATAGCATTGAATTTACATCTGTTGTTTAGTTTTTTTTTTCAAGTTGCTTCCTTTTTATATCTAACTTTTACATGCATTTGCTTGCAAGTAATGTGGTGTCTATCAGCACTTTCTAGTTTCACATAAGTTGAATGGAATTAGCTAACTAAAGTCTGCTTGGATCCGCTGTTCATTCTGAATCTATTCATTGCACTGCTTATAGTTTTAATTTTAAATTTTTTTGAGTTCATTTCGCATCCAGTTTGTTATTGTATGAATTAATACTGCTTAAATATTTTTCAATCATTACCTAAACAGTATTTTGCCTTTTAGGTACGAAGTTTATTACGTGATCGCAAACTAGAAATCGATGAGCTCGTGAATAATGCTAGGACTTTTGAAGATAATTTAGAAAAACTGCACAAATTTTGCGAATTAACTGAAAAAGCAATTCAATTGCAAGTTTCTTCTATGAATTAATTTAAAAATTGCAAATATGACATGTAGAATAGATCAGTTTTGAATATTACAAATTTTGAAATGATTTGAATTATAATTGACACTTATTTATATTTCTTTATTCTTTATTTTACAAAAAAAAGACTGCATTCATGAAGTTTGTACACACGCTTCTTAGCTGATAAAGCTCAACATTAGCAGCAGCAATATTGAATTATATCTAATTTGTTTTATTGTTATATTTTCCAAGCATGGCTCATCGTTTGTATCAAATTTCTTATTAATATAAATGGTAAAATTTTATCATAAAAAATTGCTTTAGAGTAGAAAATGCAACAATTTATGTACCTTCTGGTGCTGATTTGGACTATGTACGATCTCATGAGGTAGAAATTTCTGAACTGGCAAAAAGAGTGGAAGATCAGTGGAATGAGGCGTGCTCCAAGGATTCAGCACCTGAAGAACACCTGAAAATAGTCAGTTCTAAAGTTTATCATTAAGTTTCATATAACTGTAAAGAATATAGTAAGTACAAAAATGGTACGTACTTATTATCAAAATAAGTTTAAAATTATGCAGTGTCATATTTGATGTGACGAAATGCATAAAAGTGTTCTTGATAATGCATTGAAGGTAAATGAGATTAACTTTTTTTTTCATTTTATATGAACTGCGAATTTCAATATATTTTTGATAGAAGAATACTGCACAAATCGAAATTGTGTTTTCTCATGCCATTCCAGAATTTATAAATGAAACTATCATTTAATTTTTTTTACTTTATTTTTATTTCTATAAAAAATTATTGGGATTGGTACCTGTAAATTTTTTCTGTAAAGGTAATAATGAATGCCTTCCGTCTATTCCAAGTATATTTTAGAATCAACAAAAATATTAATTAAACGGAAACTGAGAATTTAAGATTCTGACGTGTAAATGAAGAAGAATCCTAAATTAGTTTGACCTCATGATTACATAATCAAAAGTGGATGTGCGCCTTTATCTTTAGTAAATAAGTAAATGAAAGTTACAAAAAATAGTTTTTTAAATAAATTAAAAAAAACAAATAATGCTTTTTGCTTGACTAAATAAGATTCAGATTCATCCAAAAATTTTAAATTAATTGTCAAAGTTTGGAGCTTTTTTTCATGCGATTTACTGGAAAAAGGTGAAGCTAAGTTGAGGTAACATTTTCAGTCTCGAGTTGCTATTCAAAGAGAATCCTGCTATTAAATGCTATATCATATCAAAGTAACGTGGCATTTTTTTTTCAGATTGTGCTAGAAGTCTTACATCGATGGGCTGAAGACAAGGAAAAGTTGGCAGCAACAGCTTCGTTGCCAACTTTGGCACATGATTCAACTTTAGCTACTAACTCAGGTAGCATTTTATAGACTTGATTAATTTTTTTAGTTATCATTTGATTGATTTTTCATAATTTGCAGATTAGATAGGTTATTATTTTAGAACTGGCAGCGCAAGAAGAATCAGCAAGTGAAGCACAAACAGCTCTGTCTAGCATCAATGAAGAAAGAGAATCAAATATTGTCAACGAATATGGTATTCTAAATGAGTCTCTTTCCGCTGTGCCAGAGGAACCTCAGACGGTCGGGCTCTCTCCACGAGAGCGTCTTCTGATGGATAGTGTAGTACACACGGGACATTGGCTCACCGAGACGGAACGTGATGCATCTCTTACCGTTGACTTGGCGGACTTGGACGGCATACGTAGCGCAATTAATCAAATGCAGGTTCTCTTTTTCTAATATATTTATTGAACAAATTTGTTATTGCTAATTGAAATTGCCAAAAATATTTTTTTTGTGATAGGTGGTCTTGCAAAACTTTTTTTTGGTCGTTTTAGATAAAGTGATATATTTTAAATAAGTAAATAAATTATACTTTTATTCAGTTCATTTGTATCGTATCATTTATTTAATTTGAATAACAAACGAGTAGTGTATACTAAATATATGAGATATTTGTTTCAGTCTTTCATTGATCAGCTCAAAATGCGACATTTGGATTTGATTCGAATTTTGGATGAAAGTCAAACTCAGATAGTAAGGGGAAAAACTGAGGTGATGGCAGCTGAATGTAATAAAGTTTTGGGTGAGTGTCAACGAAGAAAGACAACTTTGAATAAAATGTTGGAGGAAAGTCGAGTTTGGGACCAGTTAAAAAATTCAGTTGCGTCTTGGCTTAACGATGCTCAAGAAAAGTATTTTACGTTTAACTTTTAATCTCTTTCAGTAATGAAGTACTATTTTGGTTTATACATCTTTATTATATAACAAAATTTGCAAAATAAATATTTTAATTTTTTGTTAAAAAAATTTTTTCGTCTCGTAGAAAAGATGAATGCAAATAAGTGAGTAATGTTTCAGAGTAATTGATGGAAGCAAAGTTAGCAGAGCCGATGAGAAGATTCTCAAACAAGATCTTGCAGAAATTCAAAAAATAACTGAAAAATCAGCTGAGATGAAAAAAATGATGGATGAATTAAATGAACGTAGTAATGCTTTATTGGATCATTATCGTGCTGATGAAGGCCACAACTTATCTCATACGATCTCGAAATTAAATGCTTTGTGGAGCAAATTTAACGACAAGTAAACTTTCAGCATCAGAATTGCTTCTTTTTTACATTTAGTCATTCAAATATACCCGCTTATTTTGCTTATTTATTTGATTACAAATTATATGGTTGTTGGCAACAAGATATGATTTATGAGATATTCGTTACTTATATAAAAATACGTACTTGTTGATGGAAGGAAGAAGATAAAATACCTTTAGCAAATTGTAACATACTTGCTTTATATCAAATTTATTGTCAGATTCAAGAAAGAATGCAGTAAAAATATTAAAAAATCTCGTATTCTGTAGTGTTCGCATTCGTCGAGCAGTGCTAGAAGCAGCACTTCGAGCACGAAGCGATTTCCAATCGGCACTGAAGCAATTGGAGGAATGGATGGATAGCGTGGAAGAATCGCTAACAGAACTCAATGATGGCACTGCCAACATTCAAGTATTGAAAGATACTGTCAAGCGCAAGAAATGGATTGAAGACGAGAAGGTAATCTAAATTGCTTTCCATTCATGAAGTGATGTGAGTGATTTATGAAAATGTAGTATAATGGGAGATAAATGATATCTGCAGAATGTTCGGGTTGATATGGATGCTCATAAAAGTATTGTTGGATCAGTAGAAGAAATGGGTGCTCAGCTAATACGTCGAGTAGAAGATTCTAAGGAACGTGAACGTTTGAGAGAACGTTTATCTCATGTTAGCATTCGATGGCGACATTTATTAGGATTAGCAGATGCTATCAAGTAAGTCTTTTGTATTTCCTTATTTACAATATTATTTTGTTACAAAACCTAATTAATTATTAATGAGAGTTTTTACAGAACTCGCCTGCTGAATGCTCAAGAAGAATGGGAAAAATTGTTCACGCAATTAGCCGACAATCTATTTTGGATTGAAGCTGAATGTAAGGCATTACTTGATGAGCAGCCTGTTGGAGGTTCACTTGCTCGAGTTCAGGAACAAACAGAGTTCATTCAGGTGTTTCGAGATTATACTTCTTTTCTATTCTTTCTTATAATCACTTGTAATTAGTTTTTAGTGTATAACAATTCTAATTTCAGTCCAAAAAAATCGCGATTATGGTGAATTATGATATGGTCTTTATTACATATTGTTTTGCAATTTTAATTGAATTAAATGATCATGCTGCTTTTTAACTACCATTTTCTATTAATTTAGATGACAGGATGAAAATTTGAATAAATTTCAATAATATGCCACCAAAGTCAAGCATTAGTTTATCTCAAATCGTGCATTGTGTCGTTCCAAAGCGCAATTAAATTTTCTCTTAATTATAGAAACTTGAACAAGAAATGAAAATTCGTCAGCGTGAGATAGACAAATGCATCACTTTGGCTCATAGTTATTTGATGCAGCATGATTTGCGACCACGTATGCGAAGCACCAGCGTGTTAGCAGCCGACACAGAAAACGGTTAGTCTGTTGTTTAAAAGATATTTAAGTTTACTAATATTTACTGTAACATTTCTTAATAAGGAATTTTTGCAGTATATCATTTTGAAAATAATTTCATTTAATTTAAAAATTTGTGTCATCTATTTGATTGAAAATTAGGTTTTTTGACGAGGAACTCTTGCTGTATAAATAGATTCGTTGCTCTCGATTATTTTAGACCTAAAATAACATCTCACTTTGTTTAAATATTTTTGTATTTTTATTCGGGAAAGATGTACTACTCGTTTTGAATCTATTATTCTTTGAATAGCAGTTCAATGTATGCAAAAAATCGAGACTAAACTTAATTTGAAAGCTTTTTCAGATTTCTTAGAACTTACACATTTATGAGTGTAATGATTTCAGATGATGAAAACAATGAGCTACGTCGTGTTGGTATTCAAATCAAATCAGATAGTGATCGGTTAGGTCAAAAGTGGGTTGAACTACGAGAACAGCTTGATGCTTGGGCTCGAATTATCGCTGATGCGCACTCAAAGATGGAGAAGTTGGCTGCAGCTATTGCAGAGTGTCAGCTAGCTCTTTCAAATATGGAAGAACGGATGGAAAAGCTCAGACCTGTAGAAGACTTGAGACTAGATGAACTTCCAATGGCAGTTGACGAGAGCGAAGAGTTGAAGGAGTATTTGGCTCGGACTCGGATTTATATCGATGATGCAAATGACTGGAGTTGCCAGTTATTAGCTTCTGATGTTGACTTAGCCTCTGAGCCAACTACACAACTCAGATCTATCAATGAGAGGTTTGTGTATTTCCGTTTTGTATGCATAGTGTTTATACTTACTTCTGTCACGCTTACTTTTCTTTATTGATATTGTGATCATTTTTTAACAATCTTTTATTGAATTAAAAAAAAGACTTGAACTAATAAAATGCTGATAGTACTTAAAAACTTCTGAAATTTTTCTTTCTCTATTTTAAAATCATTTGAGATTATTTCGTTTGTACTGTTGAGTTACTAAGGAATAGTAAATGCTTTCAATAGTTGTTGAATGAGTTGGGTATTCAGTAATACTAAGAGTTGATCACTGTGATTACACTTTGATGCAACTTTAATTTTACGCCTCTTGCAGTTAAGTAGTGTTGTCTCTTGTAAGTATGCTAAATTTTTGTTGGGTTTTTACTTACAACTTGTATTCCCTTGCTCAATTATACTAAACGAGAAGAAGTCTTGTTTCCATCAAATCATTCAATTTCAGTCTATTTTTGTCTTTATGGAACATTTATTTCTTTTCACTTATAGAAGCTATCATTTTTTATAGCTTCAAGATTATTACCTATACTAAACAGTACGACAGTAAGTACTCTATTCCATTAATATGTAAATTGTAAAGCAAAAAGATAACTTTGCATTATTCGGTTTGATAAAGAGATTAATAAACTACTTTGTAATTCAGCTCGTTCAATTTATTTTGAATTTGAAAACTGAAAAGAATCACAAAATTCTTTGCTTCATTGAACAATTCCAGTTTTTGTGAATGCTACACGAAATTTGAAAATAAATAATGCAAAATATATCATTACTAAAAAAGATTTCAAATTATTTATTACTGATAAATTGTAGCAGTTTAATTTGACATTTCAATTCATTTTAATTGTAAGAATACTGTAGCTAATATTTTTTTTTAATTTTAAAAAAAGTAAGTGAAACAGATGAAATAGCGCAATTTTTTGTCTGCATTATTCACCCCGTAGATATGTTTATTTTCGCTTAAGATTCTGGTTTTGTTTTTGTTGATTCCTTTTTTTTGTTTCTCATGCCAACAAGAGCAACTTACGTATCACTTTATTCCAGCTTAATTACAAGGTATTTATTGTAATCAAACAAAACAGATGCGTCATCTTTGTGTCAATCATTCTTACGCAGTTTCTTAGAAGAGTGATTGTTGAATAAATGTTGAAGTTTTTCTGTGAAAATAAGCAAAAATTCACAAAAATTACTGATTTCAGAAACAGAAATAGCACCAATGTGTGAGCTTTCCTTTCTTTATAAAAATTTTTTCTTGAATTTTTGTTTGCATTATTTTTGAGCTTTGCCAATACTTTTGATGCTTCTTTAGTTGCAGTGTAAAATAAAATTTACAGTACTACTTGAGTAATATTTGCATTGGTCTATCTTTTCAGCGGTGCAAAAGTGTCTTAGAATATTTACATTGAGTATTTTAGGCATGTAAATACTTTGTAATTTTTCAGGATTGCAAAATTGAAATCGGATCTGCGTGTCCGAGTAGCTGCTCTTGACCGTGCTATGATGGATTTTGGCCCTTCAAGTCAGCATTTTCTAATGAATAGTGTACAACCGCCCTGGCAACGAGCTGTCTCAGCAACTAATCATTTGCCTTATTACATCAAGTATTTTTTTCACTTTTTCAAATGCTTATTATTATTATTATTATTATTATTATTTATTTATTTAGTTATTTATTTGTTTATTTGAAGTTTTAATTCAAAAGTTCTTTTATATGTATATTTTTTTTAAACTTTTAGTCAGTTCAAAGGGAGTAATGAAGAGAATATTTGAATTTATTTAATATATTCTATATATTCTTGCATTGTTACAATTTTCAGTCATGAAACAGAAGTTACTCAGTGGGATCATCCTGCAATGGTTGAAATTATGGAGGAGTTAACAACATTTAATCAAGTAAAATTTAGTGCGTATCGAACAGCTATGAAATTGCGAGCAGTTCAAAAACGATTTTGTTGTGAGTTATTTAATGAATGTTAATTTATGGTAATTATTGTATTATTGTAAAGATTATTACTGCTTATACCACAGGATAGTAATATGAATATTATTAATATAATAATGCTGTAATATTATGCATTTGTGTAGCACTTTCTGTTAAATTCATTACTGGATAATGTATTGAGTAATTTAATGGGATGGATGAGATTAATAAGAGTAATACTGGTATTGATTTTAGTGGATTTGTTAAGTTTGGAAGAGGTGGACGCAAAGATGAACTCATTGAACTGTTCTTGGAGTGAGGGATATTTGTCTATGAAAGATGCCATTATGTGCTTAGTACCACTGTTTGAAAGTGCACAAGAAAAGTATCCAAAATTAATACATTCCATACCTTTGGCTGTTGACTTATTACTCAATTTCGTTCTGAATGTCTTCGATCCGTAAGTTTGCATTGTTTGAAAACATTTTCAAGTGCGAATTCAAATGCTAAACATGTGTTTAATGCATTCAGCAAAATTTTGCATTCTTTTAATCATTTGCATAGAATTTTGTATGGTCTAGCTAGAAGCATCTCTTAATGCTGCTAGCTAAACCATACAAAATTGAAAGATAGATAGATGTTGATGAATAAGTAAGTAATGGAATCCACTTTGGAAATGATAGTTTTGTTGGAATGGAAAAGAATTCTTTATGAAAATGGGAAAACAAATTACTTTGATCTTCTAAATCCGTTATCATCAATCGTTGTTCTGATATCTAACAAAAAAGATATATATATGCGCTAAATGTATTAGTAATTTACATATCTGTAAGAGTAGTCGTAGTCATTGGGAGAAACAAGAATCTGAGATTTATAATATCTGGGCTTTAATTACCAAATGCAAATTTTTTAAAAGTATGCATTGCAGTTGAGAGTTAAGTTGAAGTGTTGTAGATAATTTTGACTTTCTCAAGCCACATTCGTTGAAGTTTTTTTTTACTTGCTAAATTCTTGAACACTTTCAGAGCACGCGATGGTGTATTACGAACATTTTCATTTCGTGTGTTACTTATTGCCCTTTGCAATTCAAATTTGGAAGATAAATATCGTTGTAAGTGAGGAGTTTTTCTGCTCTAACAAATATGAATTTATGTAGATACATCCCTCTTTAAACTTGTCCAAAAAATATCACTCATATTAACAATTATCAAAGAGTTTTTTAAAAACGAACTGAAACGAACTAATTTTCAGTTTAAAGCAAAAAGTATTAAAAGTAATTTTTCGCATAATTTTTACTCGGAAATATTTTACGCAGAAATTCGCATATTTAGTAGTGTGTTTTATGTTTTAGATCTGTATCAGTTAATAGCCAGCAGTGAAGGTGTCGATCAAAAGAAACTTGCTCTCTTGCTGTATGATATCATTCACGTAAAATTTTTAACTTACTAAAACCTTTGATTGCAATAGCCTTTTTGTTATTTAAATTTGCCAGCAGTGAAGGCAAGTATTATGAAGATTTTAGGTTTTGGTTAATTTATTTGTCGCAAACTAAATTTAACGCATGAAAATGTAAATGAAATTTTGAATTTTAATCAAAATTTTCAAGATTATATTATACCTATTCTTAGATAGAATTTTTGCAGATTCCGAAATTTTTTGGCGAAGCCGCAGCATTTGGAGGTTCAAATGTAGAGCCATCAGTGCGATCGTGCTTTGAAATTGCAAAATACCCGAGATCTATTTCTATAGATGAATTTTTAGATTGGTTAAAAAAAGAGCCTCAAAGTATCGTTTGGTTACCAGTAATGCACAGATTAGCAAGCGCAGAATTTGCCAAACATCAGGTTGATCTGAATTTTCAGCTCAGAACACTGATTAATTTATTTATATTTTAACAATTTTTTGTAGTATATCCAAATTTTTTTCTAAATTCGTCGTGCTTCATATACATTCATCAAAAAAAGATGTCTCCATAAACATAGTTTGTAATCAGATGTAATTAAATTGTACCTCATTTTTGTAGGTTAAATTAACTCATTTTAACCATTTTTATTATTCTTGTTGTTTTCAAGAAAAAATAAAGAGTGTTTTTTGTTTTGTAATGAGAGTTGCTTTCGCACCTAAATGTAAAAATTTGTTGCAGGCTAAATGTAATGTATGCAAAATGTTTCCAATAATTGGCTTACGGTATCGCTGCTTACGATGCTTCAATGTCGATGTCTGTCAAAATTGCTTTTTCAGTCAGAGGCTTGCGAAAAATCATAAATTATCACATCCAATGCAAGAATATTGTCTACCTGTGAGTAGTACTGTTTTCTTAACTTTGCTTGATACTTTGCGTTTTTTAATCACAAATTCCATTTGACATTGCATGTATATAAGTCCAGTTATTTTCAGACGACATCAGGTGAAGACGTACGTGATTTCGGCATGATAGTGAGAAATAAGCTACGATCAAAAAGTAAAACGCGAATAGGTTATTTACCTGTACAAACAGTTGATGAAGGACCTCCTCTTGAAACTAACAATGTTACACCTCTTAATCCTGCCACTGAACCCATCCATTACCGCATTCAGCTTTGTGCTAGGAGGTTTGGTCAAGTATTTTACTTAAAAAGCCGTGGACCTTCTTATCTACGTTGTAATTAATCATTTCAAATAATTTATGAATTGTGTTCTTCGGTATTACTTTTTGTATCAGCAATAGTTTTAGATTATGGCGGGCACGAGGAGATGATAATACACTTGTATTTCCGGTTTCACATGATATAGGCGAAGAGGTACGTACAAGTATGATGGAATTAAAGTCACCTTTGCAACTCTTATCCCAAGTGGAACAAATGCACAAGGAAGAGTTGGATCAAGTGCTACACAAATTGCAACATGAAAATAGGTTCTTCTGCTTTAACAATTTTATCGCTATACTTTGGCATACTACTAAATAATTTGTATTTTTGTAATTCCATATTGTATCATTTTGTAATTTTTTGAATTTAAGAGAGCTAAAAAAGGAAATTGAAAGACGGAAAAAGTATGACACAACATTAAGTTCGACACCAAATCTGACTCGTGGTGGTGGTACAGCGATGTCATGTAATGGCACTGACAATATTGGAACTGGGCGATCGGTACCTTCACTCTCCAACTCAGGAGATGACCAGTTATTGAGAGAGGTTCATCTTTACTATACAAGTCATGAAATTATAAATGTGATAGAACAAGTTTAATAGGAAAGGAAGTTTTAAAAGGATATTTTGTGCTCTCAACAAGAATTATATAAAGAATTTTAGTGCAAATCTTATCAGCTTTTTTGATACTATTTGCCAACTTTTATGCAGTAATGCAAGTGCTTTTGTTTTTTATAGGCTTATCTATTACGGCAACATAAAGAACGATTAGAGCAACGAAGTCGTATACTGGAAGAGCAAAATCGACAACTTGAAATCCAACTTGCTAGGTTACGAACGGTCATCGCACAGGTAGAAGCATGCTTGTATTAGATTTTGCTTTGAGAAAATTCATACAGTAATTAATTAATCATTGAGTGAAAACTTGTGCAACCATTAATTCTAAAGAGTATTCAAATTTTAAAGTATATTTATTGCGCATTTGCATGTATTTATATTGAAATACTTCTGAATGTAACAGTTTTATTTTTTATTTTTTAAATAGTATGAATATCATTAATTACTATAAAACTTACTTATAACTACTTGAACTTTCTGACTTTCGCAGTAAAATTCCGCGACTAAAATAATAAAATCGATTATGTGGGAAAACAATTGTTGAATTTTCAGTTTAATAAGTAAATAGTACTTTTAGCAACAAAATGCTGACCGAGAAAGTAAAGAAGGCGGTGGAGAAGAATTGGAATCAAGTATAGTATCAGTAGAAGAAGACGAAGGAATTGAGTACGATACACGGCCAAATCGTATGAATTCGTTGATCGCTTCTGTAGATCAATTAGGTCGTGCGATGCAGTCCTTTGTCGTATCTGTTGTCAATGAAAGTGAAGATACTAACGAAGATGAAGATGAGCTGACAATTGCTGAAGTACATTAAATTATGCTGTGATTAAGTGATCAAATTCAATGTTATTGTTTAGAATATATTACTGTTAAGTGCTACGAATTCTTTCGACCATTACTTGTTACTTCTTGTTCTGATTGCATGCAATTATTATTTATTATTATTTGTTTGTTGAATTTTGGTAATGTGCTGAATAATATTAATATTATTGATTGCCCAATTTTCGGAATGTGTTGCCGAAAATTCATAGATTATCGATAAAGACAAGGATAATTTTGTTGCTTAAACTTTCTTAAGTAATCACAAAACATGTTACATTTTAGTGATATTATTACTGACGAAAATCTTGTTGGTCTCTCTATACACTACTGTATTAGTCAATACTAATTCTTATCCTTGAAAATCGTATATATGATTGAGGATCTAGACATGCGTAAGTATTCAAGCATGACATTGGGTATAATCCTCTTTGTAGGAAAGTTCAGTTACGCAAGTGGGCCGTATGAATTTTTGATGCGCGAAAATTATTTTGCTACCAATTATGAAAAAGACTAGATGATTTCGTGATGTAAGCATTTAAAGATTGATGTTTTTGGAACTGGATTTTGACCCTGTACGCAGTTACTGATTTTACTAATGTGCTGCGTTTTGAGATTTGAACGGATCTAATTTTAAATATCGTAATTTTACTTGTTCAGAGAAAAAATGTTGTATCCACCAACTATTGGGGATGATGAAGTTGTGAATGTAGTAGAATCGAGTGATGATGAGGTTGATGAGGTCAGTGCCTTTTATCGAAATCCTACTCAAAAAACTTTATTATAGCGAAGAAGGAAATTGTACTATTATTTATTTATTTTTGAATACATTGATTATTGACTAATAAGTCTAAGATGTGGAATACACGCGAAGATATGCATAATGCTTTTAATCTTTAAATCAAAAGTTATCTTATCATGTTAAGTAGCTTTACTCTTTTCACGGTTTTATGTTATTTCTTTCATAACAAAAATAATTTTTTGCAGCTTTGCAAATTCTTGATGTTACAGTGATTTGTTATAGGGATTGAAAGTAAAGAAAAAACGACCAAAGGGTGTGAATGAAGATTTTGTTGATGGATTTAGGTTCCTCGATGACAATGAAAATAATGAAGGTTTTCACATTTATTTCAAATTGAGTGACTGTAATTTTTTGTAGCGAAAAATGTATATTCTCTGTTTCATGCGTTCATTGTAAATAGTGTGAGATATCTATTGTATTAATAAGGTTTCTGTATGATAATTAGTTCTGAAATATCAATCTTTATATTCTTGTCATTTTTTGTATAAGTATGTGTAAAGAGTAGAAAAAAATCATGTGATCAAGAAATCGAAGTCACGGAAAGGTGATTTCTTTAGGAAAATAAGGTATTTCTCAGCTGTTTTTAACTTGTTTGTAAATTAATGGTTGCTCAACAAGTTTTGGTAGTTAATCTTTGCTTTTCATTAATATTTGTAATTGTAGAAGTTGATGAGCTGAAAAGCTTGCGGCCATATATGAAGAAAGCTGTAAGTAGTACATTAGAAGAAAAAATTGAACGAGAGCGTCTAAAATTATGTGATAATCAAGCAGATCATGTGCATAATAAAATCCCTGAGGTTGTGCAGGAACTAGAAAATATTTCTGGTAATTTTCTTCTTCAAAAATTTTTGATCTTTACGTGCATTGACTTTCTGATTTCATCTATAAAATCTATAAATTAATCAAGTTCGAGCTTCAGTCATCTTTCATCATGAGTGTGTCGCAGAAACATATGATATGATTGAAGACAGTATATTTTTTTTCGGAATTAATTATGATTTCTATTTCTAGACAATGTTCGCG